TAAGGTTTTAGATGAGGTTTATCTTTTTGGATATCCAATTCCTCCAGCAACATTTGTTGAAAAGATTCATTGGCAGCACTTGTGTGGGGCTATTTCTGAGTTCTTTACTGTTCCATTGTTCTGTTGGGTTGTTGGAAAAGTCATGACTTATTTTTTCTGTTTTTTGTTGCAAAAATGCGTCATGACTTTTCTGACAACCCAACATATGTCTATCCTTTTGTCTGGATTAGGTAGCTATATAATGAATCTTGAAAGCAAATGCAGTGATTTCTACTTTATTTTGATTTTTAAAAATTGTTCGTTGTATTTCTTTTTCTTTCCAAATAAGTTTTAGAGTAATCCTTTATCTTTAGAAAAATTCTTGATGGGATTTTTATAATAATTGCATTAAATCTGTGTATTACTTTGGTGAGAATTGCCATCTCTACTTTGTTGATTCTTCCAATCCATGCACACGGGCTATCTATTCTGGTTTTGTTTTTTTTTAACTGATCTTTGATTTCGTTCATCAGTGTTTTGTAGTTTTCAGCATGGGAGTCTTGTGCCTGTGTTGTTAGATTTATACCTAAGTGTTTAATTTTTTGTTTTGAGAAATTATAAATGGTATCATATTCTTAATTTGAGTTTCCATATGGTCATTGCTTTACATAAAAATGCAATTAATTTTTGTATGTCTTACTTGGATCTGAAGACATTACTGAACTCATGTATCAGTTCTATTCCTTAGGATTTGGGTATATTCCGCTGGATTTTTTGTGTAGACCATCATGTCATCTGCAACAAGGTGCAGATTTATATCTTCCTTTCCAATCTGTAAGTCTTTTCTTTTTCTTACCTTATTGGGCTTCCTAGAATTTCCTGTAATATGTTGGATAAGGACACATTTACATTGTTCACAATTACTTAAGAAGAAAGCCTTTGACTTTCACCATTAAACATGATATTAGTTACAGGATTTTTGTAAAAGTTCATCAAGTTGAGTATGTTCTCCCATGTTCCTAGTTTTCTGAGTTTTTGTCATGATTGGGTATTGAATTTTGTCAAAATTCAGGGAATGAATTCATAATTTATGGTGAGATTTTACTGCAACCTAGATATTTTAGGTATTATGAAACACTTTGGTAGGAAAAGAGGTACTTTTCACCTTGTTACTGTCAAATACAGGTGGACATACAGGTTCTTTATTTTGCTTCCATTGACACTCCAGAGGGGTACCTTGCTCCTCCAGGGCAGGAGTGGGAGCTCAGGCTCCACTAGGAGTGGGAGGGGGTGCCTTACTACCACCAGGTGGGTTGAAAGTTTCAGCTCCCCACTCAGCCTTCATTGCTGATTGTCAGGGTGGGGCCGCAATGATGCTGTTTGGCTGAAGTACAGTAGTTACTGTCTAAATGTTTTTCTGTCTTGCTAGATTTCTCCTGTCTTGGTTCTTTGGATAAAGACAGCAGGCTTTGGTGGAGCTTTCTGTATCTGTACTTTTTTTGGTATTTCCAGGTTGTTGGCTTCTCGAGCATCTAGCATGTGAGGCAAAAAGAAAAATCAGGAGTCTTACTGGTGTTTACTTCATGTCCCAAAATCCCTAGTTGGTCTGCATGCTTCTCTTCACCTTTTAGTATGTTTTTACTGTTTGCTTAATAAGGCCCAAGGTTGTTAGTTGTACCAAGCAGGAGTACTAGGGGAAAATATGTCTACTCCATCTTTTCCCTAACCTTTGTTTTTTAATCTCATCACTGCCCAAATACAATTACTCCTTTTATATTGGCTTCACATGCTTTACAACACAAACACTTCTTTATTAACTATTAATCACTGCAACATATATATTTAATTATTTCAATTAAGGTAACAATCAAGTATAATGCATAGTAAAATCTGCTATTATCCTCCCAAATACTTTTTATTTTTTTCTTGACTGTTGGCATCATTAAAATGCCATATTTGGAATATTGATTCCCTTTTTTAGCAGTAGACATTGTCATAGAATACAAATTTTGAAACCATTTTTGCTGAAACAACTTAAAATGACACTGTAATTTAAAAAAAAAATTTACCCAGAACAACAAGCAAATATGTTTTATACATTAACTTTATTTTAAATGTACATTTATATCAAAATAAATGTACATTTATATCAATTGATAAAAGACAAGCTATAGTTGTCCTTTAAATTTTCCAAATATATTTGGTATGTTTTGAAAATTCCTTTCTAACTTCCTCTGTGATGTGTCAAAATACATAGTCCCAGTTCTAGACATACATTTTTGTTGGATTTGAGAAGGATGAATTGACAAAACTTGTGAGTATAATCGAAGAAAAAAAATCCGTATTTTCTATTATCTAGTCCTTTAAATTCACTTTTAAACCATTATTACAACTTTTAAATTGAAAATATATTTTCTAATACTCACTTAAATTTTTAATTGAGTAAATTTATTGGATTTAATTGCATATTAGATATAGCCTTTGAGTTATATGCAACAAAAAAGTTTTTTTAAAAACATTCCCATACAGACATTTTCTGTGCTATTTACATAATACAGAAAGCCATTAATGAGAATTTAGATACATATGCTAAAAAAGAAAATATTATAATTAGGAAACATGCCATAATAGATCCATGATTTTTTATTTTAAAAAATAGTAGAGTTCATAATCATATTTCTATCTTAAGAGATAAACAATTAATATAAACATATTTTATATTTTATAGCACTAAATAGCATTATAGTTAATTACATGTATAAAAAGTCTCATATTCTTATTTGCTTATCAAATAAGCTTTAGAAAAATAAGAATTTGCCCTAAATTATTTTCTGAAGTAAATTACAAATTAAATAGCAAAACCACTTTTTATGAACAAAAGTTCTTAAAGATAATAGATAACACACCAAAATAATATATTGATTTTAACCAATACACTAAACAAGTTTCCTTAGCACTTTCCCATGTGGGAAATGAGAGAGTAAGAAATATAGATGTCACAGGTTAATCGTGATTAAAAGTAATTTTGGCAACGTTATTCATGAGGAATCACTGATTTCATAAGCAAAATTGATTGTAAAGGCATAATCAGGCATTCCTGATTCATTGAGAATCACACAGATGTTATTAAGACCCACTCATTATGAAAATAAACAAGTCCAAAGAATTGTCCATTTCATTTCATAGGCCATCAAAAGTATGACTTTCTTTCCCAGCTTCTCTTACAACTTGTGAATCATACTTTTGAATGCTAATAAAGTTTAAATTATTTTTGGAAAGTAATACATTTTTAAACTTACGAAATTATCTCATCATAGGCACTTCTCTATAATGACACTGACCTGGCATTTGCTAAAGATAGTTCTCTCCCTGGAAGAGAATTTATGTTTATCATTCAAACTTGCTGCTGTTACTGCTTTGCCTAGGCTAGAACATCCATAAAATACTTAGCTCTTTCCTACAGGCTAAAAATGTGACCATACAGTCCGTTTCCTGTCTGTTGCCCTGGTAAAATTATAAATAGCACCTTCTTTTATTGTCAGCATTTGGGTGATAAATTTTATGGTAACATCAGCTATTGAGAAGTCAAATTGGAGGGTGAAAAAAGACTCGCAAAGCACACAAAAGTGTATTGATTCCCAGCACCACTGCAGGGACACAAGTAAACACAAGTCCTATGAGCTTTAAGATTAAGATTATGGAAACTGTTATATAACTGACCATTTAAATGAATGACATTAAAAAAAAAGATAGTTGATAGACAATAGCCTCATTTTCTAAGAAGCACATAAGTAATGAGCCAAAGCTTTTTAACGTGATTGTTAAACCTAGACTCTTGAGGACTCCTTGGATTTCAATCCCGGCTCCAAACATTTAATCTCTCTAAGCTTCGGTTTCCTCATCTATATAAAAGTAGATGGTAATAGTTCCTATAGCGTAAGATGACGTGGGGATTAAATGAGACAAAACATTTCAAAGCATTTAGCACAGTGTCTCTCACATGCTAAGCACTCAAGGAATGTCAGTTATTATTGTTTAATAATATTATATATCCTCAATAAAGAACTCAACTGACAAATGGTATAGAACTGACCTACATACAGTGCAAATGTATTCCTAAATATCATGAGAGAGAAATGTTCACAGAGAGTTCCAGTTTTCTTATCTATACTAGAGTAGGATAAATTTAGTTAATCAAAATCAAATTAGATATTACATAAATATGTATAATTTAAGATTCCAAGTTAATTGAGTCACTTATAAATTTTTCATTTATTCAGTAAATATTAGTTCAGAGCATGCTATAATTAGGTCACTGTGCCTTTTATAATACTGGAATACATACTTGCATTTGCTCCCACCTAAAGATTAACAATGCTAATAGGAGGTAAGTCCCTAATTCATTGCATAGCTTTGTTCAATGTAAAAAGATTAATTTTCTATAAAGTATAATAGATATTCAGTAAATCATTTTTCATAAATCTATTTAAATGCCTCAAAGATGAAGACCCAGGGAATAAGGGAGCAGAACTCACATTGTTTTCTTTTGATGAATTTGATTAATGACAAACTTCCAGTGGCCAAAACTAAACAATTAAAGCTTTCTAAAAACATTGTTTAAGATAAAATTTTGAATTGGATTCTGAGATAGTCTAAGGTACTGTAAGACATTGGTGGGAGGGGAATAAGACGTTTAGTGGAGTGGGCACAAATGTCAGCACCTGCCCACAGTACCATGCAAAGGAACACAGTGCTCAAATTCTTTATATTTAAAGTCTATATATTATCTTACTAAAAGAAAGGATAAAAATCAATGTTAACATTTTTACTGCCCATAAAAAACAGACAACAGTAATTTAAATAAGTTGAAAGCAACATACCCTGTGTAATATTTTAGGAATCAGATCTTTCTTTCCTCACTAGATATTAATATATTATTAAAATCGGACAGGATTTATTTTATAACTCTGTGTTTTTCAAACTAATAGAATCAAAAATAAAGTAATAAAAGCTTGCTCATCTCTGTCAAATATTTTATTTACTAAATTCTGATGTCATAATTTAGATTGTTCTTTTAAAAATAAGAACAAATTTATGAAATTTGATTGATTTTTACTTAGACATTTATTCAACACACACTTCATGACATCTCTAATGTCCCCTCTCTGTGGCAGGACACAATGAAAAGCAGAATCCAAGGAGGATGCAAATAAATGTATATTTACAATACAGGGTAATAACAACAAAGAGATGTGTGGTTATCTGAGCACATAAGATGGTACACACTCCACTGGGTAGGAGGGATCTGCCGGGAAATAACATCAGATTAAAGTCTTGACAGCTACACTCGAATTCGTCCATTGGGAGGAGTGCGGGGCCAGCACTGAATTTCTCTGTACACCAAAGCTAAATCAAGACATTATTCGTAGAGACAGATTAGCAATTTAGAAAACTGCAATACTAAGAAATGGCAAAGGGGATCCCGCAGAGGTCAGACATGAAGCTGCCGCATTAAGTTACATAGTGCAGCTTGTGTTTTAAGAAAGATTATTTGGGCAGCAGTGCAAAAACTGGATCAATAAAAGACGAGACTGAGGTAGGAAAATGAAGACCTTAGCTGTTGCAGCTGCATAGGGTGAGTGGGGGGGTGGGTAATGGGTGGATTCATGAGATATTCAGGAGGTTTAAGGAAGAGAGATTCATGACTGATATGTATTAGTTAATAGAGGAGAAGACGATATCACAAGTTCTAGGTTTTGGCCTGAGTAACTAGATGCTGAGAAAAAAAAGAGAAAGACTACAAAGGGAGACTATTTACATTAATATAATATAAACTAATATGACAGTGTCTGGGAATTTTACAACATCATTAAATCTACTTAATATGCTATAAAACCCTGTTAGCTGGAAAGATTAATAGAATTTCCCAAGGCATCTAATATATAAATGTGCAGTGGTTTTCCTACTGCTCACTTAGTATTTTTAGTCAATTTACAACTGTTCATTATGAATTAATCCATTTATCATCTCCATGAGGTTAGTTAATGGAAGCATTTCATTTTTAATCTAACAGCGGTAAAGTAATTTTCCAGAAGCCATCCAAAGAGACTCTGAAAAGCCAAAATTCAACTTTAATTTTCTGAGTACGTTTTCTGCCTAAAGTTACCGAAATAAATTGTCTTTGCTAGGAAAAATAGCAAGCACTGCCACTTAAAAATTAAATTTACTTTATAAATATTTCAGATTACTTTTCCTTGGGGCAGCAATTTTTCTTGCTTGAAACGTATTTTAGCCTAAATAGTAGTATAGTAGCAAAATGGAAGGATGCATACTGCATATGAGCTACATATTGTTTTTTGGTTTTGTATATACCCAGCCACAAATACACTGTTTTGAATTGGACTTAGTCAAATAACAGATCTAATGCACTGAATTCAAATTGTTTAGGTTAATTCAGTGACCTGATAGGTTCTCTGTCATCATATATTAATAGATATCACCCAAGATAATTTTTCAAATTAATAATGAATTAAACCAAAACAAATGTATGGCTTATGGCTCTGAGACCAGTATTAAAGTGAAATCTGCCATTACTTAAGGGACATATTTTAGTTAAACCTGTGTATATAGATAACATGCTTTACACAAAATAATGCTACAGCAAAATAATCAGCAGCTTCCAAGTTACTACTTTATGTGTATTATTCATACATTAGTAATATTTTAACATTAGTTAGATGCCATATAAATTATAAATTCCACTACCAGAATTTTATAATATTCTCAGTCAGCACATAGTGTAAATTTCTATAAAACATTCTTTATAAAATTGAACTCTTCTCCAAATTTTAATCTCCTAGTCACCAAAAATGTGTGGGTTCCTTGCCAAACGTCCCTCTTTGCTTCTGATTGTTGTGAACTCTGATGCACTGTGAGCATTGCACTCAGCACCACCAAGGACACCCAGCAGATTTCATATCACCATCTTTAACCCAATCCAGGATTCTGTAGTATAACCGTAATATCCCACTCAAAGCCACTGACAGCTTTTCATGTCTATTCAGGTTTCATTCGATTTGGTAAGAGTGACTTTATAATATTTCAGTTATAATATTACAATATACTATTACAATACAATATTATATTGCAATGTAATATTACTTTATAATGTTACAGATATGTAATAGACACTATTCTATTTTTGAAGAAAAATCTAAGGTATTTGCAACAACATAGAAGAAATACTTTAGTACTTCTGGATTTCAGACAAAACAATTAGTATTGTAAAGCACTAATAATGCAGTTTTAGATATTTAGACAGTTATGGACACCGGAAAACCAGGTACTAAGTCAAGATACCAGGAAACCATGAACCACAGAAGCATCCTTGTAGCAGTGCTGTATGACGACTGTATGGATCTGCACCCTACAACATCATTACTAGATATAACTTAAGAAATCCAAAACCAATGGCTTAAAAAACAATGCTCTACATAAAGACTAAGAATCACTTTAGCCTGATGTAGGAAAGCAGTGGAGATGAGTGAACTAAAGGTTGGGAAGTTTGCTTTTGTGGTGATGGAGCTTTGGGGCAAGTTGCATGGTTTTATTTCCTTACCTTAAACCAATATTTTTGGAGGAAAATGGAAAACTATGTTTTTCTCGTGGAGATTATAGAGAGTGACCATCAATATCAAAGGCAGAAAGAAAGTATTCATTTCCTAGTAAAGTCACACTTTTTTTTAATATGACAGAAGGATGAACACCACATGAAAATTATTACAAACACTTCTATACATTGTAAGCATGATTGGGGAAAAATTTTTAAAGACAAATGGCAAAGGCTTCCTTTTTCATGAATTCTTTGGTTATAAACAGGTCTTGAGTGACATTAGCTAGCTCTATGAACTATTAACTGGTTTTGCTGGTGTCTGTTCTGTGTCCCTTGAGGACCAGGATGAAATTAGTTATCCTGGGTTACAGCCCACAGAACATATTTAATACAGTATACCTTGCTTTAGTGTAAAATAATTATAAGATGAAAATATATCTTTAGATCTGAGATAGCATATATTATTTACGAAGCTACTGCTGAGCATGTTGTATAAACTTTTTATTTTCCTAAAAGTAAAAACTCAGTCTTAATAGGAAGCATAACAAAGCAGAAACAGAAACTCCGTTACATCTTCCCATGACTCTTGATGTGATGCTTCTCATTCATTGGTCCGCAGATTCCTGAGTTAAACAAAACATAGTGAATGATAATTAGCATGTCCTGGTTATTCTATAATGACTTATGATCAATTCAGCAAAGCAAAAATTGCTGAGAAGGAGTGATCCAAACTACCGCTAAAACCAACAGTTCTTATTCTCAATACTCAGGAAAAAATGCTAATAAACTATAATAATTTTTATTCTAATCAGTAAAGATTAGCTAATATGGACCAAATATATGGGAATAGATGAGAATAAAATAGGAGATTCCAGAAAAATTGAGAGAATAAAAAGTAAGACTACCCGAAAAGTTATAAAAGAAACTAACCCATGGTAACAAAAGAAGAAAATACACAGGCAACACAATAGATTTACTTTTAGATTGGTTGCTACCTGTTTTATGGTGGAAAAAAGATGCCATTTATTTTTGTATAACTATATATTTTCTCCTATAATATTGTAAACAAACATATTCAAGTACATAGTGATGGACTAGTTCTTTTATGAAATAAAAAAAGTAGCTGGATTAATAGACAGCCTATGTATATTGGATTTTACTTTTTATTTGGAATAACATTTGGAAGTAACTTACATTTTTTCTGTACCTGGGGACATTGTTTTCTATACCATTGCTATCGTCTGATTTCCTGTATAGAAAACAAAAAAGAAAATTACTAGATGTTTACATTAAGTCAGATGTTTACGTAAAATTAAGTCAGTACACCATCTGCATCATGGCTATCAGGTCAATGTGAAAGGGCAACACAGAGAGAATTCACTCTTCCTAATAATGTTTTAATCATAAAGTTGATTTTTTTTTTTGCCATTGATTAGAGAGGAACTCTTAACCACAGATGACAGTGACAAAGACCTATTTATTTTATGCAGCGGAAGAACTGCTTCTCCCTAAGCACATGTGGGGGCTTGGGTATATGGTTATAGCTTGTGTGTTGTTTTGACACATGCAAAATAATATCCAATCAGGAGCTCAGCCAGTATGTGAGATACAAGTGCTGCAATTTGACATGTTTATTACATTCAATTAGAGGCTAAACATGGTTTTATCTACCTGATGTGCATCAGAGGAAGAATACAAATCCAGCCTTCAGATTCTTAAGACAAGAGTGACTGAAGTAGGTAACAAGGCTATATAACTAATGGCCTTCTAGGTCTTATGGCAGCTTTAAGCCCATCAAGCTATTAACACCAGAGAATAAATTCAACCACCTATTCAACTATCAGTTATGTCAAAATCTGGGGGAGAGGGACAGGTAGGTGAGATTTTATGGATTAAATGTCTGAGTGGTTCAGGTAATGAGTGAGCTCCTCATTGAACTATTTGAAGTGAGTCTCTTGTTTTGATGTTATACATTTAATACTATTTTTAAGAATCATTTTCACCAAGGGATTATGAGTTGCTGATATATAAACACATATATAAACATATATAAAATGTATTCATAAATAATATTTATTCTCTGTCAAGAGAAACTCACCTCCTAACTAAAAATTCTAAAGGTAAAAGGTTGGTGCAAATTCATTCAAGTGTCCTTGATACTTGTATGAAATCTAAAGATATTGATATAATTAAAGATGACAAAACTGAAACACTGTCAGTGGTCTCTGAAGAGCAGAATAGGATGGAGAAAATGATGTACAATATCCCAGTTTTCCAGAAACAAAAGTTAATTCATTATACTAGAGATTTAATCAGTTTGACATTGCTCCGAAGGTAGTCTAGAAAAAAATATTTGCAAAATATGTTTTTAAATGAGGTAAGCTACCTAAATAAAAATTAAATTATTAAGAATTGATAGTCTGCTCCATATTTTTCTGGCATCATCCTTTCAGAGAGTGTCTTTAACAAGCCAGGGTGCACCGAGACCAGAGTAACCCCCAAACATGAGCACCAGAAAATGGATGGAAACACTGGGGAGGCAGAGCTGGGAGAATAGAAAAATCTGGCAAAGTTGTCCCTCTTTCAACTATCTGAATGACTGCCCTGTATTTTATAGGGCTCTAAGTTTAAGAAAGGGACTCCATATGGGAACCAGGAAGATACAAAGTTCAAATCAATATAAATAAGATATCCAGCTGTCCAGAAGGAGGCGCAGCTGTGCGAGTCTGTGATTCTGAGACAGCGTTGTGTTTCCTACCTGGGGTATGGAACTCCTGTAGAAGCTCAGACTGTGTTGATTTATTTTACCTGCCATATGTGAATTGAGTAAAACTAATTATTTTGAATAATGTCTACAAACATCTAAATGACACCTGTGCACCCCAGGCCTGCTCTTTAACCGTGGCACAGCACTTACACCTCATAGCTCCTGTTGGATGATAAAGATAAACTTAACTGCCATGTTTTGTTGTGAGCAGTTTTGCTGAGGCCTCCAATTTCCTAGGTTTCTCTTGGCTGCTTTAATCTGTTCTCAATTTTCCTGGTCCCCAGCCCTTGGCTCTGTTACTCAGATATTTGTTTTTTTGAAGTATCACTGACAATACAATATTATATTAGTCTCAGGTGTACAACATACTGATTCAACATTTGTATACCTTACAATGCGATCACCACAATAAGCCTAGTAACCATCTATCACCATACAAAGTTATTATATTGTCAACTGTTTTCCCTAGGCTACACATTACATCTTGTGGCTTATTTATGGACCTAGAGGGTATTATGTTAAGTACAATAAGTCAGACAGAGAAAGACAAATATCAAATAATTTCATTTATATGTGAAATCTAAAAGAAAAAAGAAAAAACAACAAATTAACAAAACAGAAACAGATTCATATATACAGAGAACAAACAGATGGTTGCCAGAGGAGTGCATGGCAAAGACGATGGGAGTAAGTACAAACTTCTGGTTATAAACTAAATGTTACTCTGATATTAATTCCAGGCTTGGCCACCTCCACTACTGGACTCCACACTCAGTTCTCTGGTTTGAAGGACCTAGCAACTCCCAGCTTCACTAAACCAAATTACATCCCTGGTAATTTCCTTCCCAGTCCTCCTCATGCTCAACTCTAAACTAAGCGGGAGAGGGAGCTGTAAAAGAACTAGTGACACCACTTGTGTGCTTGCAAAAATAATGACTAACCAAATTCTAGGCCAGTGATTTTCAACATGACACGGAATCAGAATCAGTGATAGATACTTTAATGAAATACAGATGGCCAGGTACCAATCCCAGGGGTTCTGACCCAGAGATCCAGTAAGGTCTGAGCAACTGTATTTTCAAGGAGCAGCCTAAGTGATCAAAAACATAGCCAGGGTTGAGAATCAGTGCTTTACACGAATTATACTTCCTTATGGTTACCAAACACCTTCTGTGCATCAAAGCCCATGCTAAGCATTTTTACATATACAATGTCACTCAGTCCAAAAGCCTTATGTCATAAGTACGATCATGAAACCCATTGTTGGAGAAAACTGAAGCACAGAGCAGTGAAAGGAGTACAGGATGGCGGGAGACCCACACAGGCAGGCAAATTCCAGAGGCCTCATCACAACATGGACGTGTACAGAAAACAACACACAAAATATTGCGATTGTTTCCCCTAACTGTAAACATTCTATTTGATTTCATTTTTATCTGTATTTTACTCAAATAAAAAATAATTTGTAAAAAATAATACTTACAGCTGTTCAATTTGTTCAAACTCTTTCCCATCATCTGTGTAACAAAAAATATAAAATATTAAGACTGGTTTATGATTCTTATGAAGCATATATGTTCATGTCAATTCCCCCGCCCTCCCCCCTGCCCTGGAGTTTAGAATGCACTGTGTTGTTTCTCTTTTTTGGAGTGATAGAGAGATGTGCTACATTAGACAGCTGTACCTCCATCACGTCTTTTCCTGCTCTCCAGACCTTACCTACAGTTTCAGTAAAGCATAGCCTAGTGTCTGGAATGTTTAAAAACAGATTTGACTGATTGGTTACAAAATTACTTAAGTTATAAAAATTTAATACAAAGTCAGAAGAGAATACAGAGTTTAAAATAAGTTTTCTTAGGGGAACCATTGCTTTCTCAACACATGGTCCATCAGGTACAAGCTATAAAAATAGGAAACTGACAGGACAATGTCTCTTTTATGAGGACTCCAGAATGTTTTATAAAACATTTTTTAAATGAGTTATCAAAGTGAAATAATAAGTGTTTGTTTTTAAAATATTTTCTATTAAGCTAGCACAGAATTTTCCAATATTCCAGTACCAAAGCATATATTAATTGGTGTGTATGTACCAGTAACACCAAAGAAGGCAGGGGAGATGTATTTTAGTAAGTTGAAACAGAAAGACCATCAATACAAGCTCATAGCTTACTGCAACCATTGATATTAACATAAATACCACTCCAAATACAAAAACTAGATTTCCCCCCAAAACTCTAAAGCCCTGTAATGTAGAGTTATAACATGAGAATGTTATCTAAAAAATAAATGATACCTGGGCGCTTCTTCTTTTTGAAGTACATTTCGCAAAGGAGAATAATAGCCACTACAAGAACCACCTCAGCAGTTATTGCAAGAAATGGTTTGAGGGGCACCAAATAACTCAGCACGACAAGTTCAACATGGCCTTCACTCTTGCCTAGTTGGAATATTGCATGGCACCAGTAAGATCCCTGATCTTTCTCCGAAAGATGCATTATCTTGAGTTTTGTTTCACTAGCATTTGTTCCACTGATCACATACTTATCCTTCATTTGAACATCAAGAGGAACCTAAGGAGACATTAAAATCCCATCATATTATATAGAAGATACATGTCCTAAATGATCTAATTTTGAGCGAAAGCTATAGTAAAGATAGTGCCAAAAAACTGCTTACCAGGAAAAGGCATATTAAAATTTGTGAAAAGTTATATATAACAGAGCTCAAATCTTAGCTGAGTATGATCTCCCAGAGGTAGCAAACAGAGGAAAATATGCTTTGCTTTCAGAACTTAGCACTGAATGTTTGAAACTATAGCATGTAGGTCATCATGGGTCAGAATTATATGAGAATTAAAAATACAAAAAAATCTCAGCCATCTGTGTTTCACATTCTAATTCCTTACTATAGCCGTTCAAGAACTTCCTCTTTCACAAGCACAGGCATACTTTAAGTCAACTATTAATAAAGTTAATGAAGCTATTAAATATGATCATTCCTATAAAGGAAGATCACTGGATCCTGACATTGCAAGTTTCTCTGACTGGAACTGAAGATAAAATCTTCAGGCCTTCGAAGAAGAGGTAAAAGGAATGTCAGAACTCCCCGGCGAGCCTTGTGTATGTAGTCGTCTGCCCATCTGCTATCTTCTCATATCTGAATTTCTCTCTCTCTCAGGAAAGCTGGCTTCTGAGATTCACTGGGTTTCTTTCCCCCAGCCTCTCAGGAAACATACTAAGCTATTTGGTGGCTTATTTATTTAATCCATTTCAATTAAATTTTATTCTCAGGCCATCTGATGCCTTCACTGCTTAATAAATGCTAATCTGCATACAAATATTCTCAGAGGTGATCTCATGAAGAACTGTCTGTGAGTTTATTTTTTGCCCCCAAAATTATAGCAACCTAGCTCTGTGTAATGCTTGTTACAAATGTACCCTTTCTAACTCAGAGCTGATAATTCAAAGTACTGCATGATTAATAGGCATCTCAGGTGATTCTGATGCACATGGTTGGTCTACATTTTGAAAAAACACTTGACCTAAAGTTTTGACCTGTACCCACTTCCCGGCACTTCTCTCACATCCTAATATGACCCATGCTTAGGGCGAAAATAAGAGAAAATTGGTAGCAAATGGAGAGAAGCACAGGCTACATTCTAAAAGTTTAATGCAATTAGATTTAGGCTATTTTTGTCTAGTATCACATTTGCATAAATAAATTAGGTGTGTATTTCAAATAATATAATTGATATATTTTTCAAATTTAGGTGTTTTAAAAAATATTTACATACACAAGACTATTGCCTTTCCAAATCATCAATAAGAAGATAAGCAGAAATGTTAATGGTTGAAGTCTACTCCTAAGTGATTTTGAGCTATTTCTTTGAAAAAAAAATCACAGAATCAATCACTCTTCCTTTTAAGTCCTTCCTCTGTCCTCCTTCAACACTCTATGATAGCATCAATTTTGTCTAAGTAATTTAATATTTCATTGTAAGATCTACACTGTCTCTACTGTCCCTTCTAGAATTACAGCTTGCCTTTAGAGGACTTTAATTTCAATGATCATTAGCACCAGGGCAATAGAAGGGTGTCCCCTAAAGGGCAAGTTCCTAAATTTCCCTGCTATTAGAGGCTATTTGGGAGGAAGAAGCAGAGCCAGAAAGGATTTTTTAAATACTCATGTTTTTCTTAATATCAGCTTTTTGAATAGTCATTAATCCTTAATAGGAATGTTAAGTATTTGGCTTTCCTTAAGGCCCTGGAAGGCCAAAAGAAGCTAATGGCACTTACTAGAAGAGAACACAAGACCTAAGTTTAAATTACCAAATTTTCATTCTTTTCTCACATGGTGCCATTGTATTGCATTCTATCAAAATATTTCCAGAGACAAGCAGGAAAAGAAGGCTCCCTTTTTTTCCAGTTACTTTCGTGAAATTATTAGGGAAAAAGGAATTATTTTGTTGTTGGGGTTATTTCTAAACTCACCAACTAAAAATGAATTGCAGCATCTTTTCAAAGAATTGAAAAAAATTGCTCAATCTAAAAAACAAAGTACCAGCTAATGCAACATTAAGAGTATCTTCAGATGTATAATGTAATATGCTAAAATCATCAAATGACAACTTCGTTTATCACTATTCTTTCTTCGTGAAGACATACTAAAGAACAAAAATAACAAATACAAATAGTCCTAGAAATTCTGAGCCTGTTATAGTCTTATTATTTATGAAATAAAAGTTTTTATTTTGTTTTCTTCAAATCAAATACGATCTTACCTGTACACTCTCATTACTACTGTACCAGGTCCAATTTAAAGGAAAACAATCTTCACATTTACATAGCAAGACAGTAGAATCCCCCACATAAGTGATCAATGGTTTGTCTTTTCCATGAATTTCAGGGACTAAGAAAAATTTAGAGAAATGTATATTATTTAGAGAAATGTATATTGATGAAAGAGTTTGAATAGGGGCGATGTATTCAAGTTGACAATATCTTCTTTCACTTTCTCATTAATATATGATTTTAAGTAGTTTCAGTTCTATATAATTTATAGTAGGATGTATAGTAGTAACAGTAATAGTAGTAGATAGATAGCTCAATATAATTGTCTGTAATGTAGAAATAGAAGAATGTTGTTCTGTTATTGAGCCTAATAACAATTACAAGTATTGTAATAAACTGTTACATGCATTGGGTAAGAAAATTTACATTTCCAGCCTATTTCTTCCCACCTAGTAAGTTACTTTAGAACTCTTATTGCCCAAAGTTTTACCCTTAGATGGCATTTGAGTGAGGAGACAAATTTTAAGGTTATAAATTCTTTAGTAGATACAGATTTATGAAAAGCTATCAGAGTTGGAGAAGGTAGGAACATGAGAAAGGAACATACGAAAATTAAAAGGAAGAAAACAGTAGGAAAGAAAATGAGATTAAAAAAACTTCATGTGGTTTTGTAAAATGTCTTATTAATAATCATTATAATAAATGTATTAAGAAAGTTTGAAGCAGATGTCATTAGTAACAAAATTAAAATGAGCACTGAATTCGGAAAAATTAAGTTTTAAGGGTGTGAATAATTTGGTCAATAAATTAAAACATAAAGAACATAAGCAAAGTAATAAAAAGCAAACCAATAGCTTCCGTGGTGAAACCAGTTTCTTCTGATTGACTTTAAAGGACACATGTAGTTACACTGGAGATACAGACTGATCAACAAAGATTACTTCTGTTGATTTTTTTTTCTTTTACTAATTTTAGCATGTTTTTGGTTTTGTATTTTTTTTTTAATTTTATTGGGGAATTGGGGGAAGGGAACAGTGCTGGGGAATCAGGGAAGGGGAACAGACAAGTTGCTGTCCTTTTGTTCTTCAGTCTAGTTGTGGAGGACGTCGCTTAACTGGCCCATGTTGGTATTATCATTGTGTTTTTCGTGGGTGAGGCAGTTGCTCGCTGGCCATTGGAGGGCGGCTCACGACAGCTCACAAAAGCTCACACCAGCTGCTGGCCAGCCCCACTGCTACCTATGCCGTTGCTGGCGACTCATGGCAGCACAGCTCCAGGTCGAGCTGTTGCTCACCATCTTAGCTGTAGAGGGCGCAGGGTCACTGGCCTTCATGTGGGATCCAAACCAGGGCCCTGCTGCTCAGAGCTGGCGTCCCAAGCCAACTCCTAACCAACACGCCACTCGGCCCGCCCCTTGTATTTTTTTGTTTTTGATTTGCCAACAGAGAAAGAATGTATGAAATTATGTCTAAATTTTTAATACTATGTTGACAAAGTGTATAGATATTATTTGATATTCACTTATCCTATTTTAGATTTTATTTTTGGAAGGGTCAGAGTGGGGAATGAAAAGATTGATTTAAATTGTAATACTAAAACTGGGTTTCTAGATTAAATGCATTTTCTAAGTGCTCTTGGCTTTCTACTACCCAAAGATAATTAGGCATTTGCTGAATGTATGAATTTAAAGATAAAGACGGGGAAAATAATTGGTAATAACGAATAATTGGTAATAACTAGAACAATTGTATAACCACCAGAGAAGGGGGAAAAATAGAGTTGGAGAATAATATTTCTTTATAGGTTCTGTCCTTAGGCGATGATTACAATGATGAGTGTGAGAAGCCTTCTTTTCTACTTGATGATTAAAGTAAGCCTAAATATAATTACACATATCACCCTCTCCTTCATTAGGACTTCTGACCAACAGAGTGTTGAATGAGGCACTGCTAATAATAAAAAAATGCTAGTGAAAGAAAAGTATGTCACCCACGAAAGCATAAATGCTTCAAGTGATCATAAGATGACAGAGCAATCTACAAGTTAATGGTTCTCAACACTTTTCATAACCAAGAGAACATGTTTTGATGACATTGAATGGTCTATAATTTTACATTAATCAAAGATGTTAATTGCCAATCAGAATTTATAATCACCCCACTAGTAGTTTATGAAAGCCTGGTAAGGTCCCACTAGGGTGCTCCTGAGGGACGAGAGAGATGAGTACATGGTAGTAGCTTGACTGCAGTCATCCAGTCAGAAGAAATTGGTGAGCTGACTGTGCCAGAGGTATTCTGAGCATTCCTTTTGAGGGGCTATTAGTGACCCGCAATCCCTATTCGTCACCATTAGTCTGAGGGACATTAAGGGACATGTGGTTCATATTTGTCAGGTCATGAGTGTTTGAAAGAGACAACACATGTGACAATGATGTAACAAAGATAAGATTTGGGTCCAAGAAATATTTGAATTAGAATTATAGTTCAGTGTTACTGGTATTGAGGACAAAGATAGGTTATATCCCTACTACAGTGTTGCTGTAAAGAACTAAGTACAAAATATGTAACATGCTTGGTGCAGAATAAACACCACAAAGTTCAAACTTTTGTTGTGATCATGTAATGGTACTGCTTTTCTTAATTGAGCCATTTGTAATGCACATGGCCTTTCTCCATAGTGATCCTTAGCCAGCCTAATAGGGTGGATTATCATCATATGCGAGAACGACAGGCCAGCTGTCCATGTGAAACAGAGAAGAAATAACGCCAGCTCAATACCCCTTTCTAATCACATTTCATTCTTATATACCCAAAACCTGGTGTAGTTTTATTATTAAATGAAGTATGAGAACATAGAAGCACCTGAGAGACAAAGGCCTACTTGTAAAGAGCAACCACATTTTAGGAGAGACCTCAACTAAAGACCTGCAGAATCAGCAAAGATCTGAGCTTGGCTAAAATCGGGATTCTTTTCCAAAACAACAAGGTTCCTCCTAAACCTCAGATGGAGCAGAGCCACACTGGAGTACCACCTGGAGAGGTACAATATGTACATACTTGGCACTGCTCTTTAATGATGCAGCTGTCATGCAGTTATTATACTTCTAGAGCCAGGCTAGGCTCACCTTAAAACAAACACTGCTTTGGAGGCAGACTTTGAAACTGGTTGGGCACTAGTCAAAAGTATGGTTTCTGCTTTCCAGTTTGTTGATCTCCCAGATATCAATCTTACTTCTCAATCTCAGTATAACTTCTTTCTGGAAATAAATTAGGTCATGCGTTAGCAGGAAAATATGTGTTGAAATATGATCAAAATTTTGAAATTTACTCAAACAGACTAAGAAACTGGATGAAAAGCAACATTTGGATGGGGGTGGTTGGGGGAGAATGACAGAAGATAAATACACTGTTTCTCAGTAAACCTCTAGGAGGCACAGGCTTGGGAAACATAACTGCTAGCTAAAAGGGACTTTTCAAGAAAATCATGGCTATTTTTTGAGGTTTGGGTGGAGGACACATTGCTACGCTATTAAACCATCTCAGTTAAATGTTACAATCAGGGTATAGACTGCAGATAGCTGACAGTGATGCCAGAGGGAAAGAAAACCAAATTCTATTTTCCTTTCATCTCTTCTGTTTTCATTTTTTGGTTTTTGGTTTTTTTATTATCCCCTAGAATAATGGCCAAGATGATATTAACCACTGCTCTGCTATGCTCTCTATGGCTGATAAATTACAAAATGCACTACGCTCAGGGAAGATCAATTTCTTTGAACTGCTCTGGAGGTCATAGTTGGTTCTGGGCTGCTGCTTATGTTTGGAAATATTTATGACTAGAAAGACAGTGATACCGTATTGTAATGTGTCCTGTTGACCTTTTGGAAATTTGGATAAAGCAGGACACATGAGCATCTTGATCTTGGGATTGGAAGAAACCATTTTTGAAGATGGTGAAATTGCTGATTCAGACTAGCATCAAGGAAAACAGGGTCTAGAATATACCCAATGAAAATGGAAGTCCTTTGTCGGTGTAAGGATGGAGATTTCTGTCTGCATATCCATGGACTAGAAAAAAAATCAGCCTGTGTCATTTTTGGTTCAAGGATATTTATGTGTTTTCAAATTATAGAAGAGATTCTTCCATATAAGCAAAGACAACTAACTTCAAGCCCAGGTTTAAGCTGAAGTTCCAGCGGATTCTGTTATACTGCTACCTTTCCATGCATTGACTCCTTAGATACCTCCCAAGGCAGACAGACACTGGGCCAAGCAGGTTTCATAGACTTGGTGCTATCAAAATCTTACCATGATTTCCAAAAAGTCCCATGTCCTACTACTTGTCCTTTACCAACCAAATTTCTGCTAAAATATTTTAACATTGATGAATAGTGTAGAAGTTTTTAGCAACTACCTCAGAATATTTGATCCACTACCGAGAAACATTGTAGACTATCACTCATCTTTCTTGGATGAAAAGTATTCAACAACATATTGTGCAGTCACAAGCTTCCAGTGTGACTTTTGCTATCTACCTAGTTACTGGCATCAATAGCCAAACACACAGTCAGCAGGTTTTTTGCATCATACTAATCAGTGATGTGGAGACCCTTTTACAGTCTTGTAGTAATAAATCAACCAGCTCCCGCAAAAGCAGAAGCAGGAACTTTGCTGATGAATTGGTCTAAGAACTCAGGCTCATGCACTATAGTTGTCTCATGTAGTCAATAGCAGACTTTTTTGTTTTTTTGGAGTTTTTTTGCTCAATTTAAAATAGAGGATAAAACAGGCTTTTCATGCACACTAAACTATAGTGCTAAGGAAAGATAATCCTTCTTCTTAGGAAAAATCATAAGCAACCTATATGGAAAAAGAGTATAATAGGATATTGAAAAAATATATATACCATTCTATAAGCCCTATAGATCTAATTATTGGGTTGTCGAGAAAATGATGTATTTTTCTGTTTTTCAATGCAAAAATGCATCATGACTTTCCCGACCCAATATATAACTATAATATTAGTTGTTCTGCAGATGCCAAAAATCTTTAAATTGTAATCAAATGAAATTATTTTTCCAAATATTCAATTTTGATGAATTACAAAAAATTATTTTACCAAAAAAATATCTAGAAGGGCCCAACTTATTACTTTTATAAATATCTTCTCAATATAGTACATACTTAAAAGTTGCAATAATGTTAAGTGGACATTAAAAACTAACAAACTGAACTAAACTCAAGAAAACTATAAAAAGAAAAAAGGTAAATATTCAGTAGCTCCTTGCATTCCTCAAGCACTTGATTTCAAATGTAGGCCTTGTGTTGATATTCCTGACACCAACCAGCATCAGCCTCATTATCTCAAAATAGATATGAAATCAAGAGGCCTTCTCTAAGACCACTTGACATTAATTTATTGGTATATTGATAAGTATAATATAATGCTTCTGTTAATCAACTCTTCTGTTAATCTTCACATTAGAGGTAAGAATTATCACTTCCAAATAATATAGTTTAGGTAATTTATTATAAGAGAGTTAATAAGAAAAATGTAATATATTCAGTATTTAAACTTTGAACTGGCATGACTAGTACATATTTCTAGAAAACAGAGCCATTTAGAAAGGGCAGAAAAGCAATTTTTAAAGCCGAATCTTCTGGAATCACATTAGCCTCAAGATTTTATGAGTATTTGCTTAAACCTGTAGGCCTTCTTTACACATTGAAAAGAGACTCAAAATGTTTACTATGATTGTGTGTGTGCGTGTGCATGTGTTTAATATCCTTTTAGCTCATTGGGAAGGAAGGAAAGGAGAGAGGGAGAGAGGAAGGGAGGGTGGGAAGGAGGGAGGGGAAAAGATAAGGAAAAGAAAAAGAAAAAAGGAAAGAGAAGGAAAGGAATAAAGAGAGAAATGTATATGGTATATCAATACTTCACTAAGTTAAATTAGGCAAATGCAGGAAAGAAGGTTAAGAGAGAATGTACATGATCAAAATAATCAAAGAATGATAATACTTTCTGCCTTTGCAGAGACCAAATTGCATAAACACAGGGCTTTATTATATTTACCAAGAAAGAACATTTGCAAAACCACATGAAGGAAACAAGTCTGTGAGTATAGAGGGAGTATGGAGAGTAATATAGGAGCTAACCATCTTAAATCGTGGCAGTGATAAAGCAGGCCATTCTGCTTTGGGGACAGTATCCATGTTTTGTCAGAGCAGCTAGCTAAAGTTTACAAGTTTTAGGAAAAGTAGAGAATGATTTCTCATGTACCCTGTGAAATCCATGTGAAGCAAAGCTCAAAATAGTTAATATGGCAACCAACCACATTTCCCAAAGAGCATTATGGACACTGTGGTTCACTAATCTATCACAGAATGTGAGCTTTTCTATGAAGATAATTGTCCAAATCAAATGACTGGTCTTTACTATGAGATTGATACCTTTGAAGTTTTGCTTTAATAATAGTAAGAGTAAAATACTTTGTTTATTCCAACAAGGGAGAGCTATGGGTTATATTCTGGGGGTTTGTCCTTACTTGATGAGATCAAAAGCAGGCAGCCCTTTGTGGGTCTCCATATTAGTTACATTTGAAGTATCTCTAACATCCCAAGTCCTGGAGCCACTGACACAAAACACCAAAGCATATTCTCACAGTCTAGGAGTGTAATAACTCAGATACCATGAGGACTATTATGATAGCTCTTGAGTTTTGAGGAATAGATAGATGATAGATGATAGATAGAGAGATACAAGAGATTGCTATGATTTACAAGTAACCTGGCAGCCTGGTCTGTCAAACTAAAACCTGTGTTTTAAACTAGAGAATGGAGGCTAGAATGGGAGTGGATTGGGAAATACAAATTCTATCAATGGGAAGACATTAGGAAACATTATTTTCAAGGTTGCCACTTATGATTCAATGGGAAGCATATGATTTTCTTTCAACTGTATTATGTTTAGTATCATAATAATAAATTTAAAATTGGGGGATTTAGAATTCTAAGAATATAAAGCTGAAGTTATTAGTCTACCAATTATTAGCACTGACCTTTCACATTAAATGTGCCCCTTTGTTCCTTTTCTTCTTGAAAGAAACAAGAATAACTTCCCATTTGTTCACTATTAATGATGGTGAACCTAAAGATAATTTGTTATTAATATAAGTGTAGTTCTCAAAACACTTGTAAATGAAAATGAAGACTTAGCCATTAACCAAGATTTTAAAATATAAAACAAATTATTGAAATATGCAAATTAGAATATTAGCATAACATTCACATGACAGCAAAGGGGAGAATGCCAGTCAGCAAAAATATTTAGACTGTAACTAGTAATTTCATCCAGCCACACAGGTTAAAATTTGGTATACTCACATGTACTGGGTATACAGGATGCTTCCTGTTGCATTGATGAGGTAATTTTCAAGTAGTTCATCACCTTTTTTCCAAGTTACATTTACTGAATTCAAATCCCTGGATGTTGTGAACTGGCATGTGAGTTCTATATTAGAAGGCCTTTGTAAGGTGATTGTTTTTTCTACTGGAACATCGGAATGTTCTAATAGCCACAAAAGAAAACAACAGCAAAAAAGATCTAAAAGTTACATTTATGGAAAATCTAATATATGAAACAGTTTAAATCATCAACAGTAGTGTTGTACTGACAGTTTCTAATGTAACATTCCTTTCAAGGATTATTTGTCTGTCAACATAGATTTGGTTCCCTTTATTATTCTTTCACACGCACAGCTGAAGAAAAGTTTTGTTAAAACATTAACAGAATCACAAAAGCCTAACTTTAATCTCCTTAAAATCTCTAGCTGACAAGGGTATAGGGGAAAGAGAATGGTATAGAAGTAGTGCCATATGCACCGACAGTGTAGAAACAGTACAACTGTAAAAACAAACAAACAAAAGCTAATGGGGAGAGAACGGAAATACTGTTTTAACTCCTTTTCAGTAATCATGTTATTGATATTTATTACAAGAATGTTTTGTGTATAAGTAAGTTTATGTGATATACTAATTCTATCATTCTCAGTTTTAACTCCTTAAGATCGTGGGGGAATTGTCTAAAGATACAGATCCAAGACAGAAGACTTTAAGTAAACATCCTATATTTTTTAATTTTCACTAAAATTGAAATATCAGTATAAAGACGTGTGGTGAAAAATATCCCACTTATGAAGAAAACATAGACTTCAACTTTTTTTGAACAGTGGTAAATAAAAAAAAAAGAAAAATCAAGCAAGTACACTGCTCTTCTTATACTAAATGTACCAGCAAATTCATGAAGAAATGTAATACAATGATGTTGCAGCCTCTGATAAATCATAGATCTAGACATTTTGCATGAACTGCTACAATCATCTCAAAAACAGAATCATGTGTTTTTTGAGGAGGAACACCCCACTACCTAGGAAATAGTCTGGCAGGAAAGGGAAGGGCGTCCTGAAATTGACCAAGTCTGTAGATCCAATTACTAGTATACAGGATAAACAGAGGATGGAAAGACATGTAAAACTACATCCCATGAAAGTAATTGGCAAAATCCAGATTATGAGAAAACTGTAAGATAAATGATGTGGTTTTTCAACAGATAAATTAGAAAAGGGAGAGAGATAAGCCTAAAAATATTTAAGATACTTTTAAAACATGCCTTTTTAAGAAAATTAAAACCAAATTATAATATTTAGAATGCACACCTGGGTAAGAACACAGTTTCAAAAAGCAAGGAAAGTGACTGTACAGAAATCAGCGTAGAGATGGTTACTCTGAAGGGGAAGGAAAGAGCTATGCTGGGGAGAGGGGACTTCATTGTGCTCAATCGTATGGTATCATTAAAAGTAGAATGAAGAGCCAAAATGTACAAAGGAAAAAACAGAACTTAAATAAAATAACATCACTTTTAATTACATTCAAAACTTCACAAAAATGCTTTCTTTAAGCAATGACCAGGTGCAAGGTTTGCAGGCAGTTAAGTACAGCTAGTGTGAAGTGCTTGGTGAGCACATGCTTGAAATAACTGTTCATGTAATTCCAAAATTGCTGAATTGTATTTTATGCACAGAAAGAAAAACAAAACAAAAACAAGAAACACCTTAGGTATAGTAAGACTATAAGATGGAATTATGTAGGGAAAAATTGAGTCAATAAAACTAAAAGGATTTACACATTTCAGCATATTTTCTGAACATCTACTACATGTCAGAAATTGTACTAGGTACTAGTTGTAGGAGAAAATGTCTCAAGATTTACTGTATTTGGTCCTGACTTTGTGTTCTGTAAATTTTCCTCACTTTACCTGAAAAAGTTAGTCCTGTCTCTCTGTCAGAGAAAGGTACCTCATTAGTCAATCTCATGAAGGTGTTCTCTACACAGTCTCTGTCTTCACCCATGTTCTCATTTCAATACAGCACGTTCTGGTATCTTATTCACCATGTTACAGAAAGTGCTTTCTCCAGACATTGCCACAGACTACCTGCTCCTTGACATTCCCTTTCAGTGTTTCTCACCATGACCAGACAGTGGCCTCCTAGTTTCTCTTGGCTACAGTTTGTCTTCCTCTACATATTTTCTGTAAGAACATCAAAGTTGTCCTTCTAAAGCAAAACTCAGATTATTTAACTGTCCTGATTAGTTATCTTTCATTTACAAATAAAGTGTCTTTGTTCTTTTTTTAATTGTGGTAAGAACACTTAACATGAGCTGACGGACTTAACAGATTTTTAAATGTACGATACAGTGTTCTTATCAGTGAACACATGTTGTACAGATCTCTAGAACTTGTTCATCTTGTATATATGCACCTCAGTACCTTTGAATAACACCCCCCCATTACATCACCTCCCCCACCCCACCCTTACAGTTCCTGGCAACTACCATTTTACTCTTTGCTTCTATGAGTTTGACTATTCTAGATACCTCATATGACAATAGCCAAGACTTGGCAGCAATCTAAATGACCACTGATGGATGAATGGCCCGCACAAAAATGGTAACATACACACAATGGAACATCCCTCAGCCTTAAAAAATACGGAAGTCTGGCAACATGGAACAACATGGATGAACCCTGAGGACACCAATACAAGTGAAATAAGCCAGCCACAGAAGGACAAACACTGCACGATTCCACCCATGTGGAGAGGCCTGCATTTCTGCCGTCTCTGCTCATAGCAGTTACAGTCTTTGTTGGTACTGCATGGATCCTTGGAAGGCTGAACTGGGTTGATTTATCACCTTGCTGGTGTGTAAAAGGAAATCGTAACTTATAGGAAAGAAAGGAGCCTCAGGAGCCCAAAATGTCTAGGACATATAGTAGCTAGACCATCCACCAAAGTCTCCAGGAAACTCTTTCACGTCCTGCAAAACTCTGCTCAGACAGTTTCAGGGGCAGAGTCTTTGGAGACTTCTGTGAGTCTTTTCCTCAGGTCTGACCTGATCGTCACTCATTACTGCTGGCCTCTGCTCAGCCCGAGTATATTCTACCAGGACCAGGGCACTCAGAATGAGGAGACCCAGGCCTCACTGACTGGAGGCCGTGGCTTGCAGGAGGCTGTGGAGGCTGGAGCACCCAGAAAAGGCTATTTTCACTCTTCAGTTTTGATTCTTAGGCACCTTCTAGGGCTGATGATGAACCCTCTTTCTTGGGGGAGGACTGGCAAGGAGATGTGGCAGCGTTGTCACTCGTAGCAGGAGGCGTTATAGACATCTTTACATTCCAGAAGAGCACCATGCTCTGTGTGGTAATGTGGCTCGCTGAAGCCTCCTAACATAGTAGGAAGTTAGAATATGAATGATTACTCCTGTTTCACAAGGGAACAGCCCAATATCTGAGGCTCTTGACCTGAGGTTATTCACAGGGCAAAACAAAGTATCTTTATGTTGGACACCTCATTCTTTTCATTTGTAAAATGGGCCAATACATATTCATGAGGATTAGATGAGCTATCATAAGGAAAGTTTTAGTAATATATTAATTGCTGAATAACTACCACTTATTTCTTCTCACCATTTATGCCACTAGGGAATATAACAGAAGATATCACATATGTTGCTACAAGTTATATAGTGATTATATCATTTATTCTTCACAGCTGTTCTATAAGTACCATTATTATCATTCCTACTTCATAGATGAGGAAGCTGAGACACAGAGAGGTTTACTATCTTGTGCCAGATCATATATCAAGGTAGTGACAGAGGTGAATTTCAAATTTAGGTGAAGCTGAGTCCAGATTCTCATAACCAACAGTATATACCAACTCTCAAAGATATGAATTCTCCTGACAATGGAATTAACTTCATCGCTTTGAAACTATTAAACTAAGATTTTAAATGAAAGAAAAAATACAAGATGAAATTAATTTATAGTGCAGCAGTATAGCAATGTGATGATAGATGAATGGTATGATCAATGTATTTTAAACATTCACACTTTCAACTAGATGCTTTTATTAAAACTGCAATGGAGCCTTTCTTTGTGATGGGTCTTCTTCAAGTCCTGATTGTTAGCTCACTGTTTCTTAAAATACTTTGCAGGTGCTCCTACAGCTTGCTTTCTTTCCCATCAGGAAATCACAAGCATCAAAATATGTAAAAGTTTTGCCTCTAACTTTAAAATATTTTATGGTTAGCCAACAAACTAATATTTCTATTGAACTCAGTGTACAATGTTTCCACTTCCACAAAACTCCACAACTGCAGTGCATTTCTGCTTTTTTAGTGTTGCAAAAATATCCATGACATCTACATTTCTAAGACTATATGTATTTGCTCAGTTACTGAACTGTATTTTTAAAAGACTGTTTTAAAATCATACAGTAATTTACATGTCTAAATACTCTCCTATATTTATAATTAAATTTTTAAGCAATTTGTTATCATCAGAAAATGACAACAGTTAGATCTTAATGGGTCCATTTAGGAATCATATCACTTGAAATAAAAGTCTAATGTGTTCTTTCATAAAAAAGTTTTTAAAATGGAAAAAGCCAATTAAAATCTCTTGCATAGGACAATATTTCCAAACATGCTTTAAAAACAGGAACTCTTATTTAAAAGAGTTAAGTGCACTGTAACATATATGCACAGGCAACAGAAATAAAACAGGTGTGGGACTACCTCAAACTAAAAAGTTTGTGCACAGTAAAGGAAACAGTCAACACAGTGGAGAGAGAACCTACAGAATGGGAGAAAATTTTTGCAATCCATAATCTGATAAGGGGTTAATTTCCAAACACCTCAATAGCAATGAAACAAATACTCAATTAAAAAAATGGGCAAATGACCTGAGTAGACATTCCTCAGAAGAAAAAATACAAATGGCCAACAGATGTAAGAAAAGGTGCTCAACATCACTAATCATCAGGGAAATGCAAATCAAAACCACAATGAGCTATCACTTCATACCTGTTATAATTGCTGTTATCAAAAAGAACACAAGCTAACAAGTGTTGATGAGGCTGTGGAGAAAGGGGAATTCCTGAACAACCTCATCATTGGGAATGTAAATTGGTGCAGCCATTATAGAAAACAGTACAGAGATTCCTCAAA